TACGGGCCTGCAAGACGTGAAGCCGTAGTGAGATGCATACATGATTTCAGTCTGAAATACCTTACTTTAGAACAGCAGTTCCACATTTTTTTTTAGCTATTTCCCCCCACCCAACCACACTGTTTTATCATCTACTCTAGAAATAAAAAAAATATCTTTAAGACATTCTGAGATCAATAACATATAGAGTAAGCGGGGTGGGTTGGGTGACTAAATGGTCTAACACATTGAGTCAAGCGGTGTGGTTTCGATCCCACAATAATTGTATGTGTGACGAGGAATAGGTTCAACCACCCAACCTTGTGGGTTTTCTCTGGTTCCACTGGTTTCCTCCCACTGCTAAATATTGAAATAAAATTGAACCATACTTTAGTCCTGTTTGTCGAGTGGGTGTTAAACCCAATATCTCTCTCCCACTTGGTATCCGACGAGTAAAGAACTAAAGGTCTTTTTTCAAAGATGACTGAAACTTAAGGGGGTAGGGTGATTGCATGATCTAAGAAGTCAAGTGGTATAGTTTCGATACCAAACTTGTACAGGAAAAGACTGGATAACACTTCTAAAGACTCCAGTTGTTTTTCATCCTTGCCCACCTATTGCACATTTTTCGCCATCGCCCCCTTACATCTTTGATATCTCCCCACTTTGAAAAACACTGCTCTAGAAGGACAATGCTTGATTTTTCTATAAGGCAAGCATATAAGGTTATTTTGCAATTTGAATACCAAATGGTGTTTAAAATCAATTAAGGTATGTCAGCCTCTTAGTAATATTGCTTTGCAGTCTTCAGTAGCAACTGTTTGGTAAAAAAAACCTGACACAACCAACTATATACGGGGACACTTATATTTGTGGGTGCAAAACATCTTGAATATGATATAACCTTAATGACCATTCAGCCCTAACACTTTACCAATGACCTACTTTAAGCTACCTATTATACATTTATGGAAATAAGGATATATACATTATATATATTATACCATCATTCTTAAACATGTATATAAAAATACTAATGGACGTTTTGATACAATAAAATCTTATCTTATCTTATCTTAACAAGCCGAAAATAAGATACTTTGTAATGAATAATTATATGAATTATGAATAATTATATGAATTATGAATAATTATATGAATAATTATCCATATGTAATGTCAGAAATATGTATGTAAATAATAAAAAGCAAACAGTGAAATCATTGGGAAATCTGGATTTCACACATTGTCAAGGTTAAATAAAAGGTTCATTTTTGATACACAAGAGACTATGACCACATGACTTGTTGGTTTCAATCAATGCATAAATGCAAAATTTTGAATTAATAGTGCTAAATTCATAAACTACGTTGTCTTAGATTACAAAGTTAGAGAGTTCTACTCCTATTAAAAATGTGAGTTTAAAGCACCTGAAAACTTTAAAAAAGTTACTGAATTTATGATCCATTTCAGTACCCTGATTTCAAATGGCCATATTTCAGCGAGTTTCCAACCTAGAAAGGTAAAATTTTGAATTTCTAAGTTTAAGGCAATATACTATAACATTTATTTTTTATAATTTTTTTGGAAGGGGCCAGATCTCAGCGAATGTTCTGCCTAGCGGCGTATAATTTTTCATTTGTTAGCTAAGTCAATGTACTATAATATATATTTTTTATAATGAAATGAATTTTATTATATTAGTCATCTGGCAGATAATAAATTATTATGTTACATTCGGCATAGTAGTCGCACACATCACCTTTTGTCTACTTTGGTCACCTTCCAGCTGCCTGGAGTTGTTGGCAGATCAAATTCTTCTCATCACTTTACATATTACTAGTCTAATTTGGTCAGCTTCCAGCTACACAGAGTTGTTCCCAGATCAAAATCTCTTGGGTGGTGAGCCTCCATTACAATATGCTTCACATCACCTTTATGTACTTGTCTAATTTGGTTACCTTCCAGCTGCACGGAGTTGGTGCCAGATCAAAATTTTTTTGGGTGGGTGTGGTCAGTGGTGTTCTCCATTGTAATATATTCATGCTGAGCTAGCATTATAGTTAGTTTTTTTTATAAAATTTCAAATTTCACTGACTACAGACATGAGGCCCAAGGACCTTAATCCCTAATTGATTAAAATTTAAAATTAAAGCAGATGATTGTCGCTAGCAATTTTCCGACATCTAATTTTCAACAACTTAATCCAAGTCAAAATGTCCTAAAATCGTTTAAAGAAAACAAACTCAAAATATTAATGGTAGAAAATCGCCCAGCTTGATTTCAATCAGATATAAAAGAGGTCCTTCAAAGATTTCAATGAAGAATATAAATATAAGTGGTGCTTGTTTTGACTATATTCTATTTACATCGTCTGATGCCAAATTTTCAGACCATCATAACTTGATTGGAATTGAACCATTTTCGATTCATATTCCTTTGAGAAAATCAGTTTTCACAAAATTGTAGTTTGCAAGGACTTTAAATGTGCACTGAAGATTTCACTTAGAATGAGAACCATTTTTATTTTCTTGATTACATTAAAGAGACCATCAAACATTTTCAAAACATCATAAAATGACAAAATATGATCTTAAAAAAAAAACTGTTGAAATATTTAAAGAGAAAAAAACTTTTAAAAAATATTTTTTTTAAACCCTAATTCATTTCAACAAATCTAAATAAGCAGAAGCATTGCCATCTAGCAACAGTTTCTAACTTTTCCTTTATAATGGATGCCTGCTCTGCCTCTCTGAACAAATCCAGAGAAACATCACCATACTAACCAAATTTGGTTGAAACAAGCCAACTGAGGCTGATGTCCCCCACCAAATTGAAAAAGTAATTAGATGACATACATTTTCTACTTTCAAATTTTTCTTTTTTATAGCATCGATCATTTTGATGTAATGATATACACTAAGTTTCGCCATTCTCACTCAATTAGAATCAAAGTTGTCAAACTCCAAAGTCTCAACCAATCAAAATTGCTCATCATCAAATTTAGTCAAGGTATTGATCGTACTGAAACTATACTCAGAGTTTCACCACTCTCACTCACTTGGAATCAAAGTTACATCCCTAAACATTGATGCATAAAATGTTCATTATTGAACTTAAGTCAAGGTACTGATATATAGTGAAAATATTGGAAATGTGTGACAGACAGACAGATGGACGGACGAACACAAGCAACTTCATTTGAACAATTCTGAATCACAATCACTGCAAGCTAAGTAACATTCATTATAAATTTTTATCAAAATCTGTCAAGTGAATAAATCCCATTTACTACTCTGCGGTGCTTCTATTCTCCTCCACCCTTTTGGGGCCCATTTCTTTCAACAAACTTCAACATCTAAGGATGATTCCCATTAAATGTCAAAGAAATCTATTCAGCTCTTTTATAGAAGAAGATTTTTCAAATGTTAATCTAAATTTACTCCATAAAAGGTGCCCTCTACCCAGCCCCTATCAAGACAAGCATTTTCATTATAAACCAATCTGAATAAACACCACCCTGGCAATTTTGATGAACCAAATTTTGGTGAACTCCATAAAAGTGCTTGCAGAGTATTCAAAAATGACTAATTGCTTACACCAACCAGCTAGTCGGACAGCAATTATGATACAAGCCCTTTAGGCCTGATCAAGTAATAAAACCTTTGCATATAAGCTAATAAAACATCCACTCAACACAAACTAGGTCATTTTGGGACTAACATATGGTTCAATTTTATTTCAATAATTTGCTTGCGCATGGGGGTCTTTAGCAGAGGGAGGAAACCGGAGAAAATCCACGAGGTTGGACAGGCGACTCTACTCCTTGTCACGTACAACCGGTGAATCGAAACCACGCCAGTTGATTCAATGACAGACCTTATGATACAGTGCGCACACGCTAACCATTCGGCCATCCCCCTCATTTGCATATTGAAGAGAACAGGACGGGCATTGAGTTAGTTGCAGCCAGTTAATGATGCGTTATTGGACAATAATAAAAATATTATCTATATATTGTTTAGTCAATCCTACTGCCTTCAACTTTTGAGGTTTCCTGTGCAAAACAGTAGTCTCAAAATATATTTATTCAATTTGGAAGTTTGTTTATATAAGTAATAAAATGTTTTATCTCAGTTATTACGAGTTATACAACACGAAAAATCAATACAATAATAACAAATATAAAATCATTTTTTCTTGCACTTAACATCTGTTACACATTGATAAAAACAGGTTCCAACATTACTAATACCATAATTTTAAATGACACGCAAACTGGATATCTAGTGACATTTTAAAATCTGGAATAAGCATTTTCCTGCTTGTCTGATTTCAGATAGGTGTAGCTTTTGGTTATCGTGAAGGGTAAAAAATGGCATACATTTCAAACAAACAGTTGTGAAAAACAATGATTAGCTTTAACAAATATTTAGAACAACCATTAGCTGGTTGCATTATGACATGTTACTATAAGTTGTCTGCTATATCATTCAGCCTGGCAGTCAAGTTCTCAAGTACACAAAATACTAGGAAAAACAAATATGACTAAATATTGCATTTAAAATGTAATATTTTTATGCACAGAACAATTTAAATATTAGCTGTAATCACTATGAAATATTTATAATTAAGTACAAATAAAATGAAATGAAATGGGGTTTAACGTTTTACTTTTCTGCAGCAACCGAGGTAATGAAGACAGTCTTATTTCATGCAGCATGCTATAAGGGACATTCTGCCCAGACAGTAGTACTATGACCCGGGCCCGTAGCCAGCCCCCCTGAAAAAATGTTTCCCCCCCCCCCCCAAAAAAAATTTGCCGACCATAGCTCTAAAATACCTACTGTAGACTGTGCCGGGTGTGCCCCCCCCCTAAAAACTTCACTGCCCCTCCGCAACCAGCAAGCTAGCTACGGGCCTGCTATGGCCTACTCTTAAATTTTGAATTCCAACTATCACAGGTTCTTTTACATGCATGCCAACATTTTTTGTATTATTTTAATGACTAGGTACTGTACTTTTGCTTGCCAATCGCTCTGTCCTACACCACTGACAAGGGGAAACCACACTGGAAAATCCTGCGGCACTTTCTCGGCCTACACCAGAACTTGTCCAATCAATAACCAAAATAACTGTTAGATCAACACAATCCAATACTTTATCTTGACCTAAATAAAACAGTTTAAGTTGTTTAACTTCAAACGATAATGTTCAAAGCAGAAATACTTCAATACAGAAAACAATATCTCTCCTACCTAAATTAGAAATAAAACACAGAAGTTACAAAAGGTAAATGTCAGCATGCTACTGTACCATCAATCATAACTGCACATATGTAATTTGATATGAAATAAACCCAGGGATCTCTATTAATTGGTTGATTATAGTGGGGGGGCTGCAGTCGTTTGATGTTTGAAAAACCCAATTACTAGAAGAATGAACTGGCAACTAGGTATCATAAATCAATCTCTTTTTTTTATTCAATTGCAAAGTGTTGATTATTACAGGTGCAACAAAATATGCTGTGCATTCTAAAAGCATATCCATCCAAATGCATTCTCTATTATCAGCATTTAATAACCACCAGTTGACATATTTCTACATTTTGCCAAGACACAATTTGAAATTCGCAGGGAACCTGGCATTCTCCAATGAAATTGCATGAAAATAGGTCTCTGTCATTCCTCAACCAATCAAGCTATGATCTCTATTACCATATAAGGCCAGACCATTGCACAAGGTGAAAGACTTTTTAAAAAGATCAAATTTTGCACAAAAACTGCACAATCTGATAATACATGAAAGTCTGCTATGTCTTTTGAAGATTGATTAAAGGGTGTATGACTTTATTTTTCGTAACCGTAAATGGGTCTAAAAGCACATATTAATGTAATTGAGTATATATATTAAGTGATTTATATTCAATTTCTTAATAAACAATTGTAATTTCTAATCAATTATGTTCGGTGAAATATGCAAACAGTCCAAAGTGAACGACAATCGTTTACGCCAAATTAGCCCATTCTTCACGTTTTTTTTAATTATCTTTTTATCATTTGTGAATCAACCATTATAATTTGTGAAAGTTATACTGGATGAAGTTCTTTATGTAATTTTGTATTACTTGGTGAGATTGTCCACTGAGAAAAAAAGGAATAAGAAAAACTAATTTCTTCAATTATAAAGCATAGATTTTGACTTCCAATGCTTGTGAACATCATAAGATTACATGGATTCTTAAACAGGGGGTTGGGTGGCCTTTAGATCATAATGTCTGTCATTGAGTCATTGTATGTGACAAGTATGGTCAGTGGTCACTTGTCCAACCTCGCGGTTGGGTTTTCTCCGGATCCTCCTACTGCTAAAGAACCCTATGTGCAAGTAAATTAAAGACATAAAATCGATCATAAGTTATCCCCGAAATGACCTACGGTAGTTTGTGTCAAGTGGATGTTATACCCAATTTCTCCCTCTTGCTAAGCAGGATTTGTTGACATCGTTTAAGGAACTTCTTGGCCACATAAGGCAATGTCTATGTTTTACTATAGAAAAGACTTTGTACAGTATATTGGGTTAATTGCAGAATACATCATAGAGTCAAGTGGAGAACAAAATATATTTAAAATCTACATTAAACTACAGTCACCAATGTGTTTTCCTCACAGATTCCAGGGTTCATCAAAACTGCTGGGTCATATATCATTGTCTAATTCACCCCCAAGGGTAATCTGGTGCTGGGGTGAATTAGTCAGGTAACAGATTTGAAATAATATGCACCTTTATCTCACAGTTCCAGTTTAAACAATATAACATTCAATTCCTGCATAATCAAACAGAAACTTTATTTTATCCAATAATTTTGTTAATTGAAATTGATGACAGATATTGTAGAAACACAAAGACAAATATAAAACAAGCCTTCAATTTAAAATGATTAATAATGACTGTGTTAATCGAATCGTTGCAAATATAAAAGAAAGCCATAACTAAAAAAAACGTACCAGTGTAGGAAAATGACATAGAATATCAATAGCTTTACCATCCAGTGTTGTTTGATCAATTAATTTAATATTAGATTTCTATTGATTGACTTGTATTTTCCATCAAACATGGTAATAGAAGTGTATCTGGAATGTTTCATAGTGTTACAAACATATGAGAAGGTAAATTAATCACTTGTCTGTGTATGCAAGTGGTACCACTTTATATTACAGATGTAGAAAGAGGTGAATTAATATACTTTTTAAAATAAGATGATTACTTGCTTATCACTTGTGCCCAGTACATTCCATGTGGTGTGGAATTTAACATTTAAATCCTATTCATTTATTACTTGTTTATGAAATCGTATAATTGAGAACACATCATTGTATTAATTGTTGGGGTCACGGTGGCTAAGTGGGTAAGATGCTGGCTCGCTAGCCTGGAGGTCGGGTGTTTGATTCCTGCATTGGCTGAGAAAGTTCATCCAGATTTTCCGGCGTGGTTCCCCCTTGTCAGTGATGCAGGACGGAGGGCCTGACAAGGACAGCTGTCTGCTCATTTGGATGGGACGGAAAACTGAGGTACTGTGTACACATTGGCGTGCACATAAAAGATCCCTTGACAGCTGGAATTTGATATAAGAGTAGCACACTGTATGGCGTATGCCCGTCTTCATTAGCCCAGTTCGGAGCAGAACAGTAGGACGTTAAACCCCATTTCATTTCATTTCTGTATTAATTGTTAATTCAAGAGGCCACTGAAAGCAACATTATTGCAACGAGAGTGAAGAAGGATCCCTCAAGCAGTCTTTTAGAGGCTTAATAATTGTTTCTTCCATGCGTTGGTGTTGGCATGGCCTCCATGGGTTGTTGATTTTACATGTGTCCTGCCTACAATCATGCCAAAAATGACATTTCCGATTTTGTCTTGTTAGCCAAATTTACCAGAAAGTTACTTTCTCAGTTTTTATAACGGATATTGTAATATACTCTTCAAGTAAAGAAACGCAATGTGACATTTCGTCGTCAGTATACCCTCGCCCTACTATCGCCTCATTGCAACAGGAACCGTGACTCGTTGCTGAACCAAACTGTTCTCCAGTGTTGCTGTGGCCATACCCTGTGTGTCTGAACCCATTGAAGTCGGATTTGACAGTGTCAGCGTATTTCAAAACAACAGCTCTAAGGGGACATCTGACTCGTAATAAGGTTTCACGTAGGCGTCTATGGACTGTCTGGTCTGAGATCCTACGCTGTCCAGGAATTGCTGCTGCAGTAGAGGTCGCTGTTGTGAACCGTTTCACGTAACCAGATGTGACGATCCAGGGCAAGTGGTGTCACAATTGTTTGGCCTGATCTTGGGTGGTCACTTGTTGATCTTCGCTGTCGGTACCTATCCCAAAGGCGAGAAATGGTATTCTGGGAATCATTTAATAGCTTGGCTACATCTGTCTGGTATTCACCTGCTTGTAACCAACCGATAGCATTGTTGCATTGGTCTCCTTTCAGATGTGGCATCACTTGGCTCGTTGAGTGTTTACATGTGTAACTGATTTTGAAACCGAGAACCCCAGGATTTTAAAGGCCTTAGATTTGGGTTTCATGCGAAAAGCTTGCGAATTTCTTAAACTCATGTGTCTTGGTGCAATTAAGCAAAAAAAAATTTCAGCAAAAAGTATGACCAGTCACAATTAGTGACCCTACATTTAAAACCAATAATGAATTTCTTTTATCCTTACATAATGACATTAAAAACAAGTAAGATTTATGGAAACAACAATCCCGTTCAAATAACAAGTTATGAAAATGGGCTGTGCATTTCTTTTTTTGAAGAGTATATTATAATTGGCTACATTGGTACATACATTAGATGCATATAAACTTCAATTGATGAAAAATGTGTAGCAAGTAAACACGAGCGAAACAGTAAAAAAATTGCAATATAATGAGTATGCTGCTCCGTACCACCCTCAATACATTGCATCAACCATCAAAAGGCCTAGGCCTGCCCAACCTCGTGGATTTTCTCTGGGTGCTCCGGTTTTCTCCCACTGCTAAAGACCCCTACATGCAAACGAATAATTGAAATAAAAATTGAACCATATGTAAGTCCCGAAATGACCTAGTTTGTGTTGAGTGGACATTAACCCCCCCTCTCTCTCTCTCTCTCTCTCTCTCTCTCTCTCTCTGTCTCTCTAACCCTTATTGCTTCTATTTTAGTTTCTGTGTCTATTTCAGCCACTACACTAATTCTGTCTTTATTACCTAATATGAAGTCAGCAGATGCTCAGATTATAATAGTAAGTGCAGGGGGACTGCACCACACATAATTTACACAAAAAAAACAAATCTACGGACAAGACACAATACGCAGAAATCACAAACAAACGAACATATCAAATTAAGTGAATGGACTGCAGTCAAATTAATTTTATCTAGTGTAATTACCTTACTCAAATGATATGAGGTCACCAGATTTTCAGACTGTGCACACTGGTCACAACTGTGTTAATTCTCCCAGAATAGGTTGATTCTATTTAGTCTCACCTGCTCCAATCGAGCTTAGACAACTCTAGCAATGTCACAGATGGATGATATCATTTATAATCCTTGTTTTATTAAACAGTACATTATCAACATGTCTATATACTTAGTTAGCTGAATATAAAGAGTTCAGTCAGAAACGTTGTATGGGACTGTTTTATATGGTCGCCAATGAATGTTATCATCAATTTTATTGCTGGTCTGTATGTGCTGTCATTGACTACTTGTCTACTCAGTGCACGAACCGTGAAAGACTTCAATGTATCACACTAAAATAGATGTAGGGTATAAAGTAAATTCTTAGTTTTGTGTTTAGTCTTATTTATTCCCAAGTGTGGTCACAACTCTCCCATCCTGTGACAGGTACCCAAATTTTTCTACTTTTGTCAGAATATAACTAACTATCAACCATTTTGGGTGGTTGGGTTGCCGAATGGTTAACCGATGTGCATTGCATCATCAGGTCTGTCACTGAGTCTAACCCTTACTGTCAATTCCCTGGTTGTACGTAACAAGGAGTAGGGTCACCTGTCCAAACTCGTGGGTTTTCTCCAGGTACTTCGGTTTCCTCCCCCTTTCCTAAGAACCCGAAGCGCAAGTGAATTAATGAAGTAAAATTGAACTAGATGTTAGTCCTAAAATGACCTAGCCTGTGTCGAGTTGACATTAAACCCCATTTCTTTCTCTCATTATCAACCCTTTTGACCAAATATGCAATAATGTGATTTTCAAAGGGATTTTTTTTCTAAGAAAATGAATATTAATAGTATTTTAATATGAGATTCTTGGTAGCATAGATTGGAATATGAGTTTTGAAGAATCTTGCTCTAATTTGACCTGTAAGATTCAAAAAGTGTTCAGTGGAATAAATTGCAATGTTTGCCCAAATTATTGCGACTGCCTGAATATTTAGAGGATACTATTTCCCTATTTGCCATAGGTCACTTAATTCTCTCAGGTCAATGGTTCTCTCTGAACAACTACACTTGTAAGTAACATATTCACCTGAAACTGTGATGTGATGTGCATTTAATCTTTTTAACAGCATTAATATTCACTAAAATTATAATACAATCAAAAATATCAACATCAACTTCTAAAGTAGATTTCTATATTGTTCGAAAAGCAAAATTTTATGTTCGTCTAGTCATCCTTTAATGGACGTTTTGATGCAATAAACATCTTATCTTATCTTATCTTATCTTTTACTTATTTTGGCAAAATGTAATCCCTTTGACTTGTTGGACACATAACTGACCAAAAACTAAATTAAACAAACCAATTAATTAATCTTGATAATTTCTTAAAGATGCTGATTGTTATTGGGAAGATTTTGAATACCTTGTAAACTAAAATATTGGGAAAGTTTGATCTCAGCTGTAAATACTGGGTAAAAATGAGATTGAATCTAAGGTAAGAGATTGATATAATGGTTCTGATAAATAATCAATTAAATATTGTACACAAAATGCACAAGCGGAAGCTGTGACTATAATTAAGCATCCTTTAATTAATATAGAAGTGCCTGAAATATTTTAATTTGGCCAGTATTGTGTATGGGTAAAAGTGATATCAACATCTAATGAGACTAAGTCACATTATAGTCACGATGACATCTGTGAATAAATTTACAATAAAAACATCTAAAAGCACAAATGAGATTAATTGTAAAGAGGCATGTTGATGTAGTGATATTTTGCATGTCACATCACATTTCCAACATGGTTGTGGTTCTTGTTCCATGTACATTCACCCGTATTTCAGTAACCAGAAAATAATATCATATTCAAAATTAGTCATCACATATCCAATGATGATTCTAATAATTGAATATATATTCAAATATTCAACTAAATTTACAGGATCAATATTTGGATACCAGGTGTCTTTCCAGATCTCTAGAATTTATGTGAATATTTCAATATCGTTTTATTTTTGCTTTCATTTATTTTTGAATTTTAGCTATTCTCCCTGAATTAATATTATATAAAATATTTCTTAAAGGCAACAATAAACTAATCAAATTTGACTTGTTTTATTGGCCTTTTTTTGATATGGAATAACAAACCCACAAAACTGGCCTAATTATAGAAAATCACCAAACTGGCCTACTTATCGGGGCAAATAAAAAAAAAGGATCTACAAGACGATAATGTCTCCAAGACAATGAGGCCTAGGAGGGTGTGAGCCCCAGGTTTCATCCGCCCACCCCACCCCTACACAACAAATGTCAGTTTTGTAAAATGCATTGAATGAGTTCCGAACAATTCCGATAGAAGCTGGTGAGCCCACATCACAGTTTCCCCTAGTACCGGAATATCTGGCCCTCCCAATCATATCACAGCACGCAACCTAGCAAAACATATCTTAGTCATGCCGACAACCATGTGTCCTTTCCGAAATAAGAATTTCTTACAATCCGCTCCATAATTTGTTTCATTTATCAGCAAAGGATGGGTTAAGTATCGATAATGTCTCTTTGATAATAACTGCTCTAAAGATTAAGAGTTTATACAAATTGCATATAAATATATTTTGTAGCTCACTGTGGTAAAATAAATAGGTGTGTATTTCTTTTTTTGTCATCGAACTTTTTTCCTTATATTGAAAATATACAATCTGTTCTCAGGTGGACGACACTACTTATCATTAAATAAAAATGTGTACACAATTATCATACACAATATGACATTCTAATCTAACTTATAATAAAAATGTAATAAATTCAATTTTCACTGAATTTGGTAACAGCAATCAATAAATGGCAACATGCCAGAATAAATGTCAAATATAGTCATAAATGATGTTTTCAATATGCTGTGTTCAGAATATGAATCTTTTAATCATTGCGGTCTCTTCATATAAATATACATAATTAAGTGATGATTTACAAAATTTATACTTTTGTATGTAATTTTATACTCATGGCTATCCATGAGTCCTTACATGTATCAGACATACAGACACTTTAAATAATCGGGCTTTGGCCAGAGATAGTCTGCAAACCTGGAATAACTGATCGAGGGGACTGCAATAAAGGACAGGTCACCTGTTATTTCTTGGGAGTACAGTACTAAAATTGTGATATGCTGCCCTGTCCCAGCCTCAATAGGAACAACTTTATTGGGTGTGTGATGAATAAACTCGGAACCCCCACACAGCCACTAATGTGAATGTAGCAAAAACATCATCAGTTTTGTGAGCTTGCTGGGAATTTCAGTTTGAATTTTTTTTAAATTGTCATGCCTTTTGGTACAAACATGGTGTATATTGTGTGGTAAAGAACCCTGTATATGTAAAAAAAAAAAACAATTTGCACATTTTGAAATAGTCCATTGATAATGATACCATCTAAAAATTAAATATATTTTACATCTATGATGTGTCACACTTTAAATTTCTTTACTTTCTTTAGACAAAACCATCAGTGTGCATTAGAGAGAAAAAAAAACATTTTTTTTATATTTTTAATTGTCTACAAATTTATCTGGACCATAATTTGTACAACTACACCTATGTATCAGTTTCCATGACCCCATAATGGCTCTATACTGTACAATTTGATAGCCTTTCTATTGTTTGCCTTGACCTGGGCTATTATCTTACCACCCTAGTGTCCCTAGTACACTTTAATTGTCCAACATTCTACAAATTCCTTTATATGTTTACATTTATTCATGTTTTCTACTATAGCTAGCCCACCTGACAAAAACCACCCTTGTTAGATATATGTCTAGTAAAGAAAAATATTAATACAAATGTTTCTTAGTATATATTAAAACTTGAAAATATGGTGGAAATTCTAAAACAAAAATTGAAATCACTTAAACACTGTATTATGCGGGGCCGGTGTTAATAGGGACAATGAATGAAATCGAGCTGCTGAATAAACCATGTCCATGAAAATGCCCGTCAAATACCATTCCAGCATCCTGAATCACAGTGCAAATGATACTGTGTTGTGTTTTTTTATAAGATTCTAAACAGACATCTCCCTGTAGCATATATGCATAGGTGCTTAAATTGTTTCCTGTAAACCTATGTTTTCATATTTTCTACATTCTAGTACCTCGATGTAAAGCTGAGCTGTGATATATCTAAAAATCTTTCAACAAGATAATTTGTTTATTGAGGTGTGATGGAAAATATACCATCATAATAAAAAAAAAATAGGTTACACTACACAGAGTAAACATTGTATTTTAGAGAATCTTGTGTAAAAAGAAAAAACTTTGTTCAAAATCTTAAAGTTTGCAAATTTAAGTTGCTTTTTGTGGAAAAAATTTTGGGATATATTAGAATAACTTCCATCCCTGCAAGTATCATTCTACCTCAGTATATGTACAAATTCGAAATAAGAGTATATATAAATGGACACCTGTATGAGTGCTCACCTTCTAATTTGAAAGAAAAGAAAAAGAAAACAAAATCAAGTAGGTCAATATATATGTTTGCGTTTAAAAGACAATTGGCAATGCCAGCAAGATATAAAATTATTCAGGATTTGGAAATACAATGGTTGACTTTTATAAAATAGCCAGCACTGAACAATAGAACATTAACATTACATAGTGTGTATAGACTATACCGGGACAACCCGAAAGAAATAACACCTGAATTTCATAGCTTCTGTTATATAAACTGTTTAAAAATTGCAAACAAAACTTACATTCATATATTTGACTGTATTTCCAAATTATTCTGCAGCCCGGTTTACACTAGTTATCGTTTACATACAACAGTACTTAATATTAACAAGTGGCTGTCGTCGGTTTACTGCTATACAACAGGCGGCCGTACTGATATTATATATAACCAATTCATAGCCTCGGATGGCAGGTACACACGCCACACCTGGCCGCAGGTCTGCATCAGGCAGTTGTCCAGAGCACCCACAAGACTTGCTTGAGATTGTTAAATTTCGATTGCTCTGTGCATCTTAATTTTACGTGCATGTCAGTGTTTACGCGCATAGACGTACGAATTGGGGTTGAGGGCGTGGGGTGGCTTTTGTCCCGTCCGAAAAATGAGTCGATGTTCCTTGACAGCCAGCCCCACCCCACCCCTTCGTCCTGTGTATTTCTGAGAAAATGACAATGACAAAATCCCGAGGAACACCGGAATCGAATCATTGTGATGGTTTTAGTGGCACCAATCTTATAGAATAAAATAAAACAAGTTAAATGTTTAACCTACAAACGTTAGGGCCGCGCTTTAATTAAAGAAGTAAGAGGCAGTGGTTTATTTTAATTCCCACCTTCATCAGCCTAGTCGGTGCAGCAGTAGGACGTTAAACCCCATTTCCTTTCGTTTATTTTAAGCTGATATAGTGGTTACATCGAATGCCACCTTTACTATTTGAATATTCTAATTCGTTATTTGAATGCTAATCGAATATTCATTACAGTTTAAATAATCAATATCTGCATTGTTTTGGCGGCTTTTTCAGATTTCTATGTGAATGTTTAAAAACAATATACTTTTCATTCTATATAATATCCTTGTTTTTGAATATTTGTTTTTTGCATTGTAGTAACGTTATTTCCCATGGGAGATAAAAAAAATGATTGCATTGAAGTAATATTGAATACAGGATAAGAGACAAAAACTGAATACGTTCTATTAGTTTTCATATCAAACGAATGTCTCAAAAATCAGTTCGATCAGCCTGGAAAAACTATTGGAATGTTCTAATATTCATGTGAGCGCTAGTGCGCGTGGAATGCAGTTAAACACTGTCAACTCTGCACACTCTTTTGATGAAATAATAATGACTTAGTATAATAGGTGTATAGGCAAACATCTCAAAAGAAAATTAAAGGTGGGATGGGAATTCACACGTCCAGTTCCAGGTACACCTGTTCTGAAATAATATGGTATTTGTATTTTAGTAGACCACGCAAGAAGCAAGTTAAGACTAATCTTTAAGTGGCATTTAGCGATTGGGAAACACACTAAAGATACAATATGGGAGATTCGATAACGAGTTGGCAGTTCTCACTATAATAGTTAAAAACTAGAGAATGTAAAGGCAATTTGCTGAAAATTCCATTTAAATTGATCCACTATGAACCGAGAACAAAGCGATTTAATTTCCGCATAGTCTCGATTATCCATTTAATCGTTAAATCGCGAAGGAAAGTTATGCAGTAAATCGGCCCACAATCCACTAAAGATCGCAGGCTAGCGATGTCATCTAGAGTTGATTATGGTCTGGATAGGTTAATTAATGTCTAATTAATAATTTCGATAACATTTCAGGCCTAAAGAAAGACCCACTATTGACAGATTTAGCTCACTGGTTTATACCGTTACATTTTGTGTAAAATTACATATTTACGTCTATCAGTGTAAACCCAATAATGGTTACTGTCGGACTTTTTGATTACCTAACACTGTATTTAAATGGGTTATCGGTGTATGCGTATGTCTGGTACATAATTTCCTTTAAAACAATACAAAAGCAAAATCGAGCTTAGTCCTTAGCCCTGATATTTTTGCAATGGGTATAAGGCACCAAGATACGTATTTCCAGGCCTGTTTTACTGATAAAGAGAGATGATCCAAGTATTTAAAAATTGTTTTCCTTGTTTATTATAAACATAGGCGTACGGGCTCGATGACAGTTAGTGGGGCAGGAACCCGAAATTACCGAAAAAATTTCGGGTTTACAGACAGCGGCGCGGTCTTCCTCGCGAAGAGAAGAATCAGAGCTAACCTTGTGTGGACACCCCCCCCCCCCCCCCAAGAAAATTTTGGGATATTTGACGGCTGCAATTACACGTTTTCCTGCTATTTCAGCCCATGACCAAAGCAACTTCAAAGTGGTCTAATATAGGCTAATTAAGATGGCTAGCTCGAATTCCAATCAAAAGATCAATCGTTTACAGTCCACGGAGACGGGCCCGTTGGAAGAAAATTTTGAAAATTTAACTGCCGCAAACGCGTTTTCCGGCTATTCCAGCCTGTGAATACAGCAACTTCAATTTGGTCCAATATAGCCTGCCTGGCTGACCCGAATTCCAAACAACCAATCAATCGTCGCGGGGTATGGGGGTCTCACCCTCCCGGAGAAATTTTTGAAAATTTAACCACCGCAAATGCGTTTCCTGCTATTATAGCCCGTGTAAGCAATTCCAAAAGTATCCAATGGTTTTGTAACCGAAATCCCATTCTGAATTCCAACCATCCAAGCAGACTGTTGCAGCTGCATTCACAGATAATAATCGATGCCCGAAAAATGTCGCACAAAGTAGAGTGGCTCCAGACAAAATGTTTTAATCCATAGTCAACTCAGTACAAATTCGTGGTATTCAATTAAAATAAAAATAAAATTAGTGTTTTATTAGGGCTCGATGACAGGGAAGCAAAACTAGAAATGGTTTTCTTCGAGAGGCGAAGAAACGGAGCTGACCTTATATGGACCCCCCAAGAAAATTTTGGAATATTTGACGGCCGTAAACGCGTTTTACTGCTATTCCAGCCCGTAAAATTAGTGTTTTATTAGATTACGTGCACTTTATTTTGCCAAGTAGATGAAATAAAAATTTGTTTTCACTTTACCCGTCTGCCCGAAATGTCAGCTTGCCCGAAAGTTAGGGGGGCAGCTGCCCCTCCCTGCCCCCCTGGCTCGTACGCCTATGAAGAGAAAGCCGGTTTCTTTCTTTATTCGCTATAGACAATAAAATAGGTTTTACTGTTCTTAGCCAACCGGGCTAAGGTTTGATCCTGATCCGGTGTGGTTTCACCTCGTCCGTGGCTCACTAATCGGAGGTCCGGGGTTTGATCGCCGTGTTGACCTAGACAATTCCCCAAACCTTCCAGCGTTGTTTCCCATTGTCAGTGGTGCACGACGGGGGGGGGGGGGGGGTCTGTGATGGGACAGCGTCTAGTTATTTAAAGGAGCTAAATCGCTAACATTTGGGACCTAGAAATTGACAAAAGTGGGTCGCAACGCATATAATACTGTAATATGAATGTATATAAACTGATTTACATTCAATGGTTTCCGTTTTTACTCCAATTTCAAATCAGTTATGTTCGGCGAAATAAGCCAGCAGTCTCAAGCGAGTGCAAATTTCTAGCGTCTGGTTATTCCAGTCTACACACGCCGTTTGATTCGGTGCAATGTGTATAGCCTCGTCCCTCGAGTCTCTTGATACAACTGGGGCTGAAGCGCATTATGGTACACGATTCGTGTACCAATGGTAAAATGGTTATTTTGTCTTAAATATTGGATATCAAAAGCCCATCCTTTTCCGGTAAGATCACAACATGAATGTTGATTTAATTTGACAAATAAATCGTGTTTTCAATGTTGAAGATTTTGGATGATATTGAGTTAGAGACTTAGCTACTTTAAAATAAAGAGTAGACCGTAATGTCGCTGTTTCAACCATAGTTCCCCCTAGCATAATGTATGGCGTATGTGCATCTTCAATATCCCAGTTAGGCATTAAACTCCATTTGATTTTTTGATTTTTTTTTCTCTTCATCACAATTGCCACCCCTTACAGTATTATTTAGGTTTTGCCTGTGACAGGGAACTAATGGATTGAACTTACAATAACGCAGACATGTATAATAGAGCTAATCATTTGTTTCATAAATCGTATGTGAATTAATGGTGCGAAATAAACAAACAAGAAAAAGATAAACGCCATTTTTACCTCTTTTGTATAGAAGAAAATTAATTTATTGGTGCCGTATTTATTGGCAATTCCATTCAAATTACTTTATTCTGAGTAAAGTTATCAATGTTTGACGTTTTGACAAGTTGTGGCCATGGAGGTGTATATATTGTGGCATAGGTTGTTTATTATCGTCATACAGTAGGACGTTAAGTTAAACCCCATTTCATTTCGTTTATTATCGTAGAAACGGTATACACTTATTATTCGAGACTAACTCTCGATTTACCATTTATTAATTTAATCATTAAATGGCGATCCGATGTCTAGAGAGTTGTTTATAGGCTTGCAATGTGAAAAAAATGTCTCAGTAATAATTTATGTAACATTTGAAGACAAAATAAAAACCTGCGATAGGGAGAATAATCTTTAATAATGGACTTATTGTGTTATTAAGGACGTTACAAAATGGAAATAAATTCTAGCCAGTAACACAGCTGGTGATTGTAATAATATATGTTAGTTTATTTTATAAAAGCTAGTACGGTATCTAAAATATTTACAGGTGTATAAATATTCAATCTTGAACACCCAGACATATGACCACTGGCCACCAAATATATCAATATTTATTTTAATGCCACTACTGGATTATTTTATAGTAGTACAACCAAGGGTCCCATCAAGGGTGTACATATCGATTTCGTTGGTGGGGAGGGGGGGGGGGGTAGCAAATATAAGACTGATGCACATGCCCCTAATACGAGTGACACAACCAAGAACCGAGCACCACAGGTGTGAGCTTTATAGTGGGATCTTTGAATCGAGAGTCCCTGAAATGCCATTTTCTAGACTTTGGGGGTGGGGGGGGGGGAAGGGCTGCAGAATTCTGACGGTCAGAAAACACTATAACATGAGTAAAACTGAGTACTTCGCATGGGAATTTATGTTATTTATTAAGAATTTTGCAAGAACGTACAAAGTACTGTTAATCTGTGACAACTTATGAACAGGATAATAATTACATCATTTTCATGGACCTACATCTTCGACATATTATTGTGGAGAAAATACATTTAGTCGCCGATGCACAATTTTGCGACTGCACATATTTTAAGATCAACTATTTTATTCCCCCCCCCACCCCAACACACACACCCACACACACATTTAGGAGCCTGGGTCCCACCCAATCTTAATC